AACTCATCCGAGAAGTCATTTGGGAGGATATAAAATGACCAAAAGTGCAACTAAGTACTTTTTTTGAGTCACGCTACACATACAGAAAGTCGTCTTACAGAGACTATACAAAAAAATGACTGAAAAAAAAACATCCCTCATCCCTCATTTCATTCTCCTTACCATCTCCGTTTGAAATTGGGAACCTAAGAATGACCCACTTCATCTCCTCCGACGCCCACTTGTAGTCAACCTCTGTCCGATGACAATAAAAGTGCGCACATCTCATGCTGAACCTACAGTCAAATCGCCTCCTTCGTCTTCATCGGAGTCCGCAAACAACGCAATCTTCTTCACCGCCATCACATACACCGCACTCTTCTGCACCTTCGATCGGCGAGTCAGGCCACAAGAGCCAGGTATCTTCACCTCCATCGTGTGGGTCTTCTTCTAAAATTTACCCCGAAGTTGTTAAATACAGAAGTTTGGGGCTTTTTCTGGAATGGCATAATTTACCCCAAATTTGTGAAAAACATAAGCTTCTTTCTTCTTTCCAAGCTGTAAGTGAAGTAACTTTCCTTCCAAACTATAAGTGATATAAGTTCTGGAAAACTATGTTTCCTACCTCTGTTCACAGACGCCCCACTGACCTCGACTAGTAGCAGTCGATCAGTCTACAACAGGCATAAGAGAAGTAAGTTTCTTTTAAAGCTTGTTCAGTATTTCACACTTATATTCTTTGTAAATTCTTATGAGATACTAGTGTAATTGGTCAGATTAGTAGAACCGCTGATGATATTGGTGTTTGATTCGCGTTCAGGATGAGACGGAAGAATGTTGGTGTTTGTCACGCTTGTAGAAGTACAGAACACTTCTTCAATGACTGTCCAGTAAAACAAGGATGTCCATGGTGTCTATGGGGATGGGAGAAATGCTTTGAAGTTGAAAGAAAGACAGATAACTAAGGGCGATTATTTAGAACATGTAGTAATAATTGTGGCTATTTGTTTTGGGTGGAGAATGAAGAATCACATAGTGAATTGAGTACAACGAATGAAGTGGTGAATCCTGCAGCCATAGATGAAGTTGACGAAGATTTGCCAATCATGTTCGATAGCCTAGGTCGAATAGCCGAAAAAGAGATATCGAGATAACGTTGAATGTAACATTCTGCAAGGGAAAGGAAAGTGCAGAAGTGGCTGGAAAGGGCTGAACTTCATAAGTAGCAGGACAATTTTATTGTTTTGTTTGTGTGTGTGTTGGCTGTAGCAGGACAATGTTATGGGTTGTGTGTGTGTGTGTGTCGGCTGTAGTAAATGTGCAGTTTAGATGTGTAAGGCTTCATTTTGCATCTTGAAAGCTTGAATCAAGTATTGATGTGCATTTTGTATGGAAGGCATGAGACTTCCTGTTATTAAAATACGTAGTTGGTGTTGAAAAACTTGTGTAAACTATGATGAATGAATTCTATTTTTCTTCCAAACTGGTCTCTAAATTGTGTATGACATTTTTACTTATCTTGGTCACTGAATTGCAAAGATTGGTTGTTGAAAGAATGTACTGCCAAGTTTTGGTTAGAATCAAGAAAAAAATACATACAGGTTGTTTTCAACTGAACAAGTAGATCATCCCATGGAAGATAACATAAGTAATATCCCAGACATTCTCTGTTTACTTAAAATACAGAATTTCTATTGAACAAAACAATCCAAACCACAACATTGATGACCATTCCATATTATATAAACATATAATTGGATGTTATAAAGGTCCACCAAAATCTGAAAATGAACAATAGTCATACACAATGATAGGAAAATACCCTGGGGGATATCTGAAAATGTTTATCAATACATATGGGATGACATAAAACCAACACACGAATGACAAAAAATTGAGTTACACACATGTTTATAATTTAGGAAGTTCACATGGGATGCTAATACTTCAACCACTCCTGCCCAATTAACGACCAATTTTTGCAATGGCTTTCACTCCCATTTCAATTCCCATACGAGATTTCATCATCATTGTGATTTGACACCACTGGCCGAATACGAGCAAGGTCGTCTGCAATGTGGGAAGGTCTTGGGAAATGAGTTCCACCATGGAGCTGAAAATAAAATGCAGCCATTTCATTATCAGTGGTCATTTAATGTTTTCACCCAAAATGTATAGGAAACAAAGTAAACCTTTACCGAGTAAAACATGGAGCTAAAGTTCCTAACGTATGATACGGCATCAACACATGTTCACCTTGGGAATTGAATATGACATTAGTAGACGACGGAGGGATAAAAGTGGATGACGATAACTGTTGGGCACATACTTGGCTTTGGACATCACCCTGCATCATATGACAACGTTAATGGAACTTGAAGTGAGCATGAAATAAAATTTAATTACATGAAAATCGTAAACTTACTAGCAACAATTGCGAATATGAAAATGGGGTCGGCTGAGAATCATGAAGTTGTCCAGATAACTGAAGGTCCGATGCAGCCTCTTCCATATTAGTACGGCCAATGGCTGGTCTCTTTCCTTTGGATTTAGTCGAAGTAGCCTATACATATACATGGAAAGAAATTAGATTTCGTAGCTAAGCTCCTTATCTATTTGACGAGGTTAGTAAAGCAACTTACCTTAGCCTTCTTTGAAGTGGACTCCAACGCTCTTTTCCTCCGAAGTTTCCTTGGCGCACCCTTTCTATTCGATGTCTTAGGATCTAATACATTCACTCCGCTAGGACTTTGTGATTTATTACATTGGCCTAGTAAATGCATACTTGGTTGGGATAGAACATTACTACCATTACTCGAATTTAAAGACCTCAATTCTGCAGCTTGAGATTTTATCCAATCCTTTACCGCACGAGCCCGCCCTTTGTCATTTGCAGCAAGGTCCGCCAACTCTGAAAATGTCTGACATAGATTATCGTATCAAATTTGTTCTGGAGTACTAGCCAACCCGTCGTAGTTCACCGCAACTCTTGTGTGTGGTATGCTGACGTCTCTCCTCCATCTCCTGACTATATACCTACTGGCATTATCGTGACATCATTACGATCTAATACTGTGATAGCATGCCTACAAATAATTTCTCGGAACTCAAACAAATGGCAGCTGCAAAGAACTTCACGTGTGTCCATTCGAAACGACACAAAATATGTTTTCTTTCTCCTGCCCTCGGGATACACGACAGACTCCCGAATCTCGTACGTTGTCCCAAAAAATCCATCTGAAGCTGCAACGACATCACAATACAGCTTCCCTATGAACTCATCTTTCACTTCCTTGAACTTGGATCCTGTATAAACCGATTGAAATTGGTTTTCCATTTTGAAGGCAGTTGCAAAAGGCACCATTTGAGAGTATGATCTAAAATCAGCCTGGAATTCTTTCTTGACCTTGCTTCGAAGTGCTCTTTCATATTATTCCACAACCTGCTTCAATGAGGTTTTTGAATGTACATATCCATCAAAGAATGCATTCATACTCTCGCTTCGTTGTGTTGTAGATATCCCTGCCCAGAATGTTGTCTTCAGAAAGCACGGTACCCAACGTCTTTTATTATCATACAAGCCTGACAACCAATCATTGTCATGCAATTCGAACTTTTCAACCATCATTCTCCAACCTTCTTCGAATTCATCAATACTCTGGGAATCATATACGAATTCGTGTATAGATGAGAAAATTGAACCTTTGTCAACGTTATAGCCAAACTTTTCTGGCAACTTTTTCATAATATGCCAGAAACACTATCTATGTTTTGTATTTGGAAAAACAATCTCAACCACATTTTGCATGGCTTTATCTTGATCCGTAATTATTCCATGGGAAGGATGGCCATGCATATACTCGAGCCATTTCTTGAATAGCCACACAAACGTACCCGTGTCCTCATTCGACAACAAAACACAACCAAGCAATATTGATTGTCCATGGTGATTAACTCCGACAAAAGGAGCGAAAGACATGTCGTACTTATTTGTAAAATACGTCGTGTTAAAGGTAACAATATCGCCAAACTCTTTGTATACTTGCCGAGATCTGTTATCTGCCCAAAATATATTTTGAAGCCGTAGCTTGTCATCCAAATCCATGCTAAAATAAAATCTCGAACACCGTGCTTGCATCTTTGAAAAGTAGGATTGTAAAGCTGCGCGTCTCGTTCTCCAAGTCGTAACGGTCTCACTTGTTTAATATAGTTGCGACAATCCTTTTCAACATAAGTCATATTCTCGTATTCACCTGCTTCCACAATTGCAGAGTTGTAACTTTTGGGCAATGGAATTCCTGCCATATCATTCAATTCAAGCTTTCTCTTCGCGTTTGCAGTCAATTCTCTATTACATCGAAACAACATCGACTTGGAAGGACTTGTTTTATGATTATGCTCAAGATGGACGGTGTTAATTTTCCATTTCCCAACATTATCTGCAGATGCAGTTATCCTCGCTTTACAATTTGTTTGACTTGTTAGTTGCGGCTTCAAAGTAATGCTTGTGTTACTGCCTCTTCAACCTTCACGGCTACATGTGAATGTGATATATCTAACAACTCCGTCATCACCCTTTTTCGAATTCCTTTTCCTCACGGGAAAGCCGATGACATAAGCATATCTTTTATAGAAATCAAACAACTCTTTTTCCCCATCAAAAATCATACCGACCTCCAGAGCAACTTCTTTATCTTCTCCTAACGGTTCTCTGTCCATACTATTGATATTATCCCCAACTATCTCGTCATCGGACAGCAATAAAGGGTCTTCATTCACATCTTCCATACTTTCACGTGTTGCAACCAAATTGGCTGGACAATATAATAAATTCATTGTTAAGCCAACATGGATGTGATTTCATACATCAAATTTTGTTAAGCAAACAAATGTCTCAAACCATAGCAACGTCAAAGCGATCAATTACAGTGCTTAATAGCCCTAATTTTTTTTTCAACTTTCAAAAATTTCCTTCAGATTAGCATATGGAGGTATATATTTTGTGGCATTCAGTTGCATATGAAGGTTTTCCTAATTTATGGCTTCATGTACGTGTGTGTGTGTGTGTTCATTCCTTTGCATATGAGGGTACATATTCCAACAACATTCATAAAAAATTTTGACAGCATATTACAGTGTGTTCATTCCTGTGGTGTGTGTTCAAAATGACAGGATTATTTTTTTCCCCAAATGTACAAAGAAACGTTCTGTGGTGTGTGTTCAAAAATCACAGCATGAAGATAAATAGAAATTACATTTGGGCAATTACCGTCTCTGGGGCAGGAAATCATCGCTACACTGGAGAAGACAGTGAACTCGCTCGCACCAGTGGAAAGAATGACGGTTGCTCAAACACGGAAAATGCTCCAGCTCCGGTGCTCTTCAGGTCAGAGAAAAAGTGTAGCTTTTTAGTTCTTATTTTGATGGTGAATCGAGAGGTTGTTTAGCAACTAATTTCTCCACTTCAGTTTAGGGCTTCCATTTTGGGATGAAACGAGAGAATTTGGCGGGTTATGAGAGAAAAACCAAAGTTTTCCTTCTTTTCCTCCTGCCATGTCAGCAATTTTTTAAAATTCTGTACAGCTTCTATAAGAAGTCCTCTGTACATCTAGAATTATTGTATTTTTTTTTTCCTTATTTTAGTGCATGCCCAAAAATCATAAAAATCATCAGCAATGATAAAACATATCAATTAATGAAAGGATAAAGATAAGAATGGAATGAGAAAAAACATAGGAACATAGATATTAAAATGAGAAAATTTTGAAGACGTTAAGTACAATTAAATTATGATGCAAATAATAAAACCCGTCA